GACCCAAATCATGCAGTTAGAAATGAATAGGCTGAAATCTCAATGGACAACCCCAAAATCCACAATATTATTAGCTACTATTTTTGAGAACATGTACTTCAATAAATTGGAGAATTCAGATAAAATGGATAGATTCCTAGATACGTATAAATTATGAAAACTAAACCAAGAAGACACAAAATCCCTGAATAATCCAATAACAGGCAGTGAAATTGAAGCAGTGATAAACTACCAACTAAACAAAGCACAGGACCTGATGATTTTCTAGTGAATTCCACAAGAACATTAAAGAAGAGCTGATGCTAATACTCCTCAAACTCTTTAATAAAACTGAAAGAGAAAGAGTACTCTCACAGTTATTCCTGGAAGGTAATACCCAATTCTAAAGCCAGAGAAAAGACTAATCAAAACAGAAAACTACAAGCAGTCTCTTTAAAAAGCATATACACAAAAATCCTTAACATGATATTGGCAAACAGAGTGCAACAAATCATCAAAAAGATCATATATCCTGACTAGTAAGCTTCATCCCAAGGATGGAGGGAAGTTTCAACATGCACAAATCAATAAATGTAAACAGAAGTAAAGACAAAAATCATTTTATCATCTCAAAAGACACAGAAAAAGCCTTTGACAAAATCTAACATCCATTCATGATAAAAGCCCTAACAAAAGGGGCATAGCTCCACATTATCTCAGTATGAGAAAAGCCATTTATAACAAAACAATGGCCAATATCACATTAAATGGAGAAAAGCTGAAACCTTTTTCTCTAAAATCAGGAGGAAAGGATTCCACCATCATCACTCCTATTCAGTATGATTCTCCATACATTTTCTAGAACAATCAGACAAGAGAAAGAAATAAAAAGGTGTATGTGCTGGAAAAGCAGAAGTCAAATTATCATTATTTGAATATGAAGTGATCCTCTACATAGAAGACTCCCCAAAAATCCCACCAAAAACTCTAGAAATTAATCACCAAATTCAGTATTGTAGCAGAATACAAAATCAACACACAAAAATCAGTAACATTTCTGTGTACCAATAATGAACTCACTGAGAAAGAAATTAAGAAAACAATAACATTCTTAATAGCATCAAAAAATTAAATACTTATGAATTAACCTAACCAATGAAGTGAAAGACCTATCCAACAAAAATTGCAGTACTCTCAAAGAGGAGATCAAAGAATATCAGAAAATGGAAAGAAATTCCCTCTTCCTAGATAGGCAGAACAAATATTGTCAAAATGACCATATTTCCAAAACTGATATTCATATTTAATGAAATCTCCAATAAAAATACCACTAGCGTTTGTCATATAACTAGAGAATACAATCCTAAAACTCTTATGGAACCAGAAGAAATCCAGAATAGCAAAAGCTATCTGGGGCAACAAGAGCAAATCAGGAGCCACCAAGATCCCAGGCTTCATGTTGCAAGACAAAGCCATAGAGATAAAACCAGCATGGTGCTAAAAAAAAAAAAAAAAAAAAGACATGTGGATCAATGAAATAGAATATTAAATACAGAAATAACTCTCATCACATTCACTTTTCTAATCTTTGACAAAGAGACCAAAAGCATATGCTGGAGGAAAGATCACTTTTTTAATAAATAACAAATGGTGCTGGGAAAATTGGTTATGTTCAAGCAAAAGATTCAATTTAAACCAATATATCTCACCATGTACTACATTAAAATAAAAATGAACCAAAGATAGCAATATTAAAACAGAAACAGTCTTCTGGAAGATAAAATTGGCAAAACTCTTGAAGATATAGGCATAGGCAAGGATTTTCTGAACAGAATCCTAAATGTGTGAAGAATCAATGAATGGGATCATAAAGAATCAAAAAGCTTCTGCACAGCAAAGGAAACAACCAGCAAAATGAAGAGGCAATGGGGCAATATTGCCATTCAATACTTTGGCAAAGGAACACCATTTAGAATATATAAAGAACTTGAAAAAAAATAGACCTCAAACATAAAAGACCCACTCAAAAGATGGGTAACAGCAATGAATGGGCACTTCATAAATTGCCAATAAATACATGAAAAAATACGTTTAACATCTCTGGCCACAAAAGAAATGCAAGTTAAAACAGCACTCAGATTCTACTTTACCACAGAAAGTATGACCATCCTCAAGAAATCATACAATAGTAAATGTTGGTGAGGCTGCAGGGAAAAAGGAACCCTTCTACATTTTTGATGGGAATGTCAACTAGTGCATCCATTACGGAAATTAGTATAGTGATTTCTCAAAAAACTAAAACTAAAAGTTCCATTTGAACCAGCTATTTCCCTTCTAGATATCATCATGTTACAATGATACATGCAGACCCATTTTTATAGAAGCACAACTCATAATAGCTCAATCTTGAAAGCAGCCTGTATGTCATTAATGGATGAATGGGTACATAAAATATGGCTTTTATACATAGTAGAGCACTACTCTGCCATGAAGAAGGATAAACTCAAGTCATTCCTGGGAAAATAGTTTCACCTTACAACCATAATATTAAGTGAGATAAATCAGACACACATTCTTAAGTCTTGCATGGTTTCTCTTATATAAGAAACCCAAAATATAACTATGGAGTAAAATTAAAGATAATAGGAGTTAGGTCTTTTGAAAAAGGGAAGGGGACTAAGAAATGGAGGGGAGAAGGAGAAGGGAAAGAAATAAAAAGCAGTATGATGTATTGCATACATGTTCCAGCTCTCCACAAGGAATGTAAACATTATGTATTGCAAACATGTACCAATAAAAAATAAAATAATATAAATATTATAGTGACAGTATCAAGAGGTTTATTGAACAATACAAATAATGAAATGACTATATGACGATACATGTTATAAAAAATGTTATAAAAAAGAAATCATTTCAGTTACACTGCTTATTGGATGGTGTGATTTTATAGTCATTGCTGTATTTTCTTTTTAAATATATCCTTTCTTGTTGTAATGTACTACCTGATAAGTTAGAAAATTTAGATTTTATTGAAAATCACTAATAGACTCATTATGTGAGTCTATGTTTAGTGTGAATTCTTTCTGTGTACTGTTTTCTATGCATGCATTGGTTTTATTTTAGAAACGGTATATTATTTCATATCGTGCTCTTTATTCAGCCCATCATGAACAAAATTCTTTGTAATTCAGGGATCTTCTACAATAAACTTTTAAGATGGCTGCAAAGTATTCCATTGTGTGGACCATAGACTTTTTAATTATTTCAAGGTTTTTCATAATATCATTGTGAAATATAAGAGTACCATTTTTCAAATTATTGGTTAGGAGGTGAAGAACTAAGAATCAAGCAAGATGATACTTAGTGGATTGAACTCTGGACTTGATCTGGAGTCTTTCTTTGTCCCAACTCAGTCTGGGACTCCATTCAATTGAATTTTACCATCTAACCTCTTTATATAATAGTTTATTTGTCTTTTCATTTAGCATTTGTGCTAAGACAGTGGTATCTTGGTCCACAAACTCAATTTGTTCCATGATTATGCGAAAGGTGGACATGTTTGTGTTTGTGTAGAGAAGATGGCCACTATTATGTTCCTCTCCTGATGCGGAGTTAAGGAATGGAAGCAAAATTTTGCATAGCATTTCTATTTGCAAACTGAATTGTCTATGAACAGAGGTGTTTGTGAACCAAGGCTTTACTGTATTCTCTTATTGAACTTCTTAGGAAGACATAGCAAATCAGGAACAGAGCTAAGAGTCTAAGATCTTTCATTAAAATTGTATCAATTTATAGTATTCTTTTTTATCTTTCTTTATTTCTCTAATGTTCAGCATACAGGTTCAAATTAATAACAGCCCTTGTTTCATAACAGGATCATTCCATTGCCCCATATATGACCATCTCATTCTCTAAACATATAGTAAACTTTCTTTTTACTAACAAAATCTGTTATAATTTCAATATAAATGGCATATAATTTATTTACTGGTATGTCTGTAGGACAGCTGCAGTCTCTAGTTTTCACCGGTGTCTTGTCATATACTCTGCATGGTGGAGTGATTTGCACATGGCCCTCTGCTTGGGTGAGCATTTATTGGTAGAAAGGATTCTGCTGTCAAAGCTTGCTAAGATTTGGGTATTGGCTAAATAGATAGGAAATTAAGGGCTACTGAAGTTGGTAGTGACTGAATGGAGAATAAAGCCATCATATTCGCTAGTTATAATGAGGCAACAGGGATAGACTGAACAGAAAATTTATTGACAGTGAATTAAAAAATGAATAAAACATGGTTTTATAACATGATAAAAGCGTAGTGCTTGGAAAGCTGCTCTTTAGTCCACACAATCAGGTTGGGATGTTAGCGGCACTATTTAAGTATTGTACCTTTCAGAAGAGGATATAAAACTGAGAGAAGTTCATTGACTTATAGTAATTGTCAGCTTCACACTTGGATCTGTATGATTGCAAAGATATTAGGCTTAACACATAATGATAAATTGTTCAGAAATGGCAATGTTAAGTCTTCAGAAAACATTAAAAAAGTTCTTTGGAAATGCCTTTATTTTTCAAATATTTTCCAAATGACGAAGGAAGATTGCTATTATAGAAATACATGTGAGGACGCATACACTGAACTCTAGAACTTTTACTGTTTCTGATTCCCTTGTCTTATATTTCCCAACTAATGGAATATCTTTATGATCCAAATGGCAATGTTAAGTCTTCAGAAAACATTAAAAAAGTTCTTTGGAAATGCCTTTATTTTTCAAATATTTTCCAAATGACGAAGGAAGATTGCTATTATAGAAATACATGTGAGGACGCATACACTGAACTCTAGAACTTTTACTGTTTCTGATTCCCTTGTCTTATATTTCCCAACTAATGGAATATCTTTATGATCCCTATAGTAGGACTATTGGCTATAGTGGACTTCTTTTCTCTTTCTGGAGTTAGTCAATGATCTGTGTTGCACTGTCAGTATATATATTTATCATCTTTTCACCTGTTACAGAATTATAGTAGAAGATGCAGTGGATTGGAAACCCCTTGACAAAATCGTCCTTAGTTCTTCTTCTTACGAGCCACACGAAGCAGAGGTCCTCACTGTGAAAGAGGTCAAGGGCCACCACATCCAGGTCCATGAGCGTCTTCAACACCGGCACATCGGTAAGACTTCGGTTTGCTGGGTTTGCTGGTTAGAAGAAGCGAGTGCACCACTAGTACCAAAGAGCCCAGAGATCTTGCATCTGGTTGCCATCAAGGGAAAAGGGCAACCTTACCAAAGCTCTGGGTTTATTCTAGTAGGTGTATCTTTTTTTTCTTCATTAATTAAAAAACAATTTTGATTAGTGTATGTTTGTGATGCATATTCAAGATATATGAATATAGGGAATCGATATGTATACATATTACATCTTGATACTTTTTACTTCCCTTTCCTCTTTCCTCCTTTTCATGTCACTCTATCCCCAGAGTCTTCACTTCTCCATAAAATCGATCTTTTGTTTTGCTCTTTTATTTTATTTTTATCTTCTCTTTTATTTTGCTTTTAAAATTATTTATACTTTGGTTTTCTCATATAAGAGAAAGCACACAATATTTAACCTTCTTTGTCATAAACTTTCACTCAGCATGTGGTGTGGTCTCAAGTGCACTGATTTTCTTACAAATGACTCATGCTCCTCTTTATGGGTGATATAATGTATATCACATTTTCTGCATCCATTCACATGCTTCCAAGATTTGATGATCACGAGCTGTGCTGCTGCAAAAGTGGGTACACTGTATGTATCAGGGTAAGATAATGTCTTTAACTATTTTATTACCTAATTTTTAAAGAGTAAATAGATATGAAGGTCTTAAAAATTCATTATGGCAAATCTAAGAGCAGAAGGCTTGATCATCTCACTCAAGGTCACTGGGCGATTTCTTGGCTGTGCTGGAATAAAACTCAGACACTGAGTTTCCAGTTCATTTCCTGGCATAGTGTATTATAAAATCCCTTAGAACATTGTAATTATTGTTAAAATGTAAAATAATTGTTGTTAAAATATATTATTATGTTAAATTACTGCTATTATTTCTGAAAATAAGGAAAATTTGAATGCCTTTTTATAAAATCAGATACTAAATATTTTATATCATATACTCAATGCAAATTTACTGTGCATAAATAGCAAATAAATATAATCTTCCCTGGACATCTAAATCAGTTATAGCTAAATGTAATGAATCTTAGAAGTAAATAGGGTTAGAGAATTGTTTTGCATGGGATATGTGCGAGGGGAGTGCATATTTTTTCTAGGACTCTCTACAGTTATTTCTACATCATAATTCAAGGATCAGAGAGCCGCCATACTTCCTGTTTTTTTTTTTTTTTTTTTTTTTTTTT